GACTCGTCAATAAATGAGTACAAAACAGCGTTTCCTAGCACCTGTCGCTTACTGATTGTTTGGAATTATAAATATGAGCGTAGTTCGTCTGTTAATACTCACTAACGATGCTGTGATTATAAATGAGAGTGACTCCTGGTTAACATGTATTAAAAGGGGTCGTGTTTAGTCACTATTTAGTGTGGTATTTTTTGACAATATTCACTCATCATGACAGTAAAATAGGGCATTCTAAGTCAATATACTGCAGTATTTCCTCTCTCAGTCAATAGAAAATATGGTCATGCATGAAAAAAACCGGTATAATTTTGAAAAATACCATGATATAAATTTTTGGTCATACCGCCCAGCACTAGTCTGAGGCACGTGATTTGATTGGCTAGCGCCTGTGCTGGTAAACTGGATTTGATTGGGCTGGCGCTCTCGTTGCCGCTTCAAAAGTTAAACATGTCTTAACACGAGTAATACGATGCTCATTTTCAGACCACTCATTTGCGTACTAACATGGTGGACAGCTGTTAATCACCCTTTTAGATCTACTAACTGTAATACTGTACAAGGTCAATACTGACTCCATATTGAATTGGTCAAGTGTTTAACAAATAGTAGAGCGTTCTTGTGTAAACTTCCAATTCCATGTTAAAAATAGCCCCCTGGAAACCAGACATTACTGAGACTGCAACGCATACCGAATCCATGAGAAACTTGAACCGTTTCACAACAGGTTTCAGGAGTGTTTCCTCATGTGGCAGTTAAAGTTAGCTTTACTTCTGAAACTGCTGCCACACTGAACACAAACGAACGGCTTCTCTCCGGTGTGAACTCTCATGTGAGTGGAAAGATTTCCTTTCTGTGTGAAGCTCTTTCCGCACTGAGGGCAGGTGTGAGGCTTCTCTCCGCTGTGCACTCTCGTGTGGCTCTTCAGGTCTTCTCTGCGAATGAAGCGTCTCCCGCACACTCTGCAGGAGTAGGGCTTCTCTCCGCTGTGAATTCTCAAGTGGATTTCAAGGCTTCTTTTCTCAGTGAAACGATGTCCACACTGTTGGCAGGAGTACGGGGTCTCTCCAGTGTGGACTTTCATATGAAGCGTAAGGCTTACTTTCTGAGTGAAGCTCTTTCCACACTGTTGGCAGGTGAAAGGTTTCTCTCCGGTGTGGATTCTCGTGTGGACTTTAAGGTTTTCTTTTTGTTTGAAGCTCTTTCCACACTGTTGGCAGGTGAAGCTTGTCTTTTGGGCTCTCTTCTGAGAAGAAACCTCATTTTGGGACTTTTCAGTCTGTGAGCAAATAAAAGGGTTTTCTCCAGTTATGAAATCAGGATGTTCCTCATACTGATTTTTCTCTTCCATTTCATGCAGCATCAGGTCTAAGATGAAAAATACAAATAAAAGTTAACCAGAGTTTAAAGGCACAAAGCAGGAGACATCAAAAATAAATAAAAACATACCGGAAACACTGTCCTGCACAGCTTAGCTAAAACCCTAATTAACTCTCTTCCCTGTCAGATTTTTATTAATTTTATTTTATTTTTTCCACCGAATGTCCATGGCCCCAAAATAATCTGTTGTGTGAATGTACACTACCGCTCAAAAGTTTGGGATCTGACAGATTTTTAATGTTTTTTAAAGAAGTTTCTTATGCTCATCAAAGTTGCATTTTTTATTATCAAAAATACAGACAAAAAACTGTAATATTATGAAATATTATTGCAATTTAAAATAACAGTTTCTATTTTAATACACTTCAAAATATAATTTATTTCTGTGATGCGCAGCTGTATTTTCAGCATCATTACTCCAGTATAAAGTGTCACATGATCTTCAGAAATCATTCTAATATGCTGATTTATTATCAGTGCTGGAAACTGTTGCTGCTTCATATTTTTTTGGAACCTGTGATACTTTTTTCAGGATTCTTTGATGAATAAAACGTAAAAAGAACAGCATTAAAAAAAAATACAAAATCTTTTGTAATATACACTACCGTTCAAATGTTTGGGGTCAGTAAATTTTTTCTTTCTTTGCTTTTAAGGAATTAATAATTGTTTTTCAGCAAGGATGTATATATATAGAGGGAGCGGAATGAGACGCTTCTTCTCTTTCACTCATCTGAGGATAAACTGACTCACAGACAATAGCGTTCCTCGTGGTTAGATACAGCATTACATTGTTACGTCCAATAATAATTTAGCATTTCACATAGCTTGCAAACGTTATAAAACTGAATTTAGCACTTAATGTAAACACCTGCAATGTTTTGAAACACAAACCTTTCTTCAGCAGAGCCACAACAGACGTAGGAGCGTGGCGGCGCGGCCTTATGACGTCACATTCACCAGACCAAAATAAAAGTCCTGTTCTTCAACTTAAGTTTTGTCTCTTAATCTGCTGCTTTCCTCTTCGTTCCTAATACAGTTCTGTATTATATGCTCAGCATGTTCTTTAATGCCTCCTATCACTGTTCCTTTTGTTACAGTGACTAACTGTGACTAAATGTTACTAACTGTGGTTGTTTTGATGAACTTTAACTTTAATGCTTTCATATTAAATATAGGCTAATTCTAAAGGATGTCATTTAATTATTTTAAATAGATAATGTTTATTTCTTCAAAACAAAATCACATAGTTCAAGGTTATAAATATAAATTATAAATTGTATGTTCTGAATTTTCTGAGGGTAAAGTGGACCCTTTTTTTTTGGTGGTTTCAAGCCCTATTTTGCACCCTCTCTATGAAAAGTCACACTAAAACTGTTGCCATCTATGTAAAAAATGTGGAGGGTTTTTTTTTGTTTGTTTGTTTTTTTGAAGAAACCAAGTTTTCACCATCTTGGAATAAACTGATTATAGAAGGTAGCTTAATATGAAAAGTGTGATTTCTGCATAAGTCATGTGAATTAATAAATCTTTAAACTCAGAGACATTTTTATAATGAATACACATTTTTATAGTCAGCCCTAAAACATTTGATTGTGTATATATATATATATATATATATATATATATATATATATATATCATTTAGAGAACCACACCCATACTGATGTATGAATCAAAGACAACAGTAAAGGATCTTTTTTTGTGGACTGGACCAAGTGATTTATTGTTCTGCCTGGACAATCTGTAGCGGTTGTCACCTAGTTTAAGAACTGCACCTTAACAATTTCATACATAAATGGTCCTTCGAGCCGGATTAGGCAACTACTACAGCAACACCATGTCCAGAACAAAAAGACAGGCTACCCCAGAGCCACCAGTGGTTCGTCCACGTCGTATATATAACACACACACATACACACACACACACACACACAAAGTAAAACAAGTAGATAGAATAGAAAAATATTTTAAAAACTTAAATGTAGATAAGGTAGAATTGCTGAGATGCGAGCAGCTATCAGGGGATCATCAGGATGGAATGAGAGGTAGAGTTGAGTGTCATCAGCATAGCAGTGATATGAAAAGCCATGTTTCTGAATGACAGAACCTAGTGATGCCATGTAGACAGAGACGAGAAGTGGTCCAAGAACTGAGCCCTGAGGCACCCCAGTAGCTAGATGTTGTGACTTGGACTCCTCACCTCTCCAAGATACCTTGAAGGACCTATCTCAAAGCACTGGCGTGTTTACCCTCAATTTTAAGCATCATCCTCTTGGGGGAAAAAAGTTAATCACTAAAGCCAAGACACTGATTACAGCCATTGGTTTAATTTTAACAGTGTGAGAAACGAGAGCAAAATTCACTGCTTAATTCTACTGCAGACGCCTTTAGTCAAAGGGATTCTATTAAGAGATTGGCAGTGCTAGTTGGGCAGCCTTCTCCTTTTGGCACCACATGCAGGTTTGGTCTCAGAGGAGAGAATGTGCACATTTGATCCTTCAGGCGATAAAGTCCTTTTTTGTGCAGAAAGTGAGATGAAAAAATATGAATATTTATACATCATAATAGGGATTGAGTTTTGGTTAAATTAAAGTGTAGATCTCTCTACAACCACAAACTAAATTATAAACTACAAATTCTTAATGAGTTTGAAATATTCAACAGTTCTTTCTAATCCTTTGTAATATGAAGATCAAGATATTTGACTTTATTCATGTTTGAGAATATCACAAATGCTCAGTAGTTGGTGTTATAATTGCAATCACTTCACACTTGCTTACATTTAGAGAGGAAGTTTTTGAAAAAAAAAAATATCAGTGGTATTTATAGCTTTGATTTATATTTTAAATCAATCCATTATCTGACCGTTTGAATGTGTTTTCTGTATGTGGATTTCTATTATTATTATAGCGTGTGAACGGGACTTTTATTTTGGTGTGGCGACGTGACGTCATAAGGCTGCGCCGCGCATATCTACTTCTGAATTACAAATAATGAAAATCATTTTATATCACTTAGTTTTGCACCTGTATCTACAAACTTGCAAAAGTGTGAATGTGAGTGAGATTTGTGTCTATTAAAGCAATAAGCCCCAAGAAGCCGTGGTTTGTTGTCATCCTCACAATCACTTTATTAATTCAGGGTCTTGTAAACATTACTTTCTCTCCAGACGTGAATAACTCTGATTAAAATGAAAAGGAAATGAGACTGAAACACTATTTCTCCTTTTGAGAAGGAAATGTAATTAATGCTGTTTTTGTTTGTCACATTTTCCTGTGATGTACATGGAAGCTGACAATATTCAAAACCTCCATGTGATAGTAACTTTGTTTCATCAACACAATACCTCCAGCTTTATTTGAGGGTTTAACTGTCACATCTGTTTCCTTAGTCATTGATTTCAATGCTTCACGTTCTGTTTTTGTGATGTTTGATCTATGCTTAATATTATGCTCAAAAAGTTGATCTGCATCTCTCTCTACCAAACGACAGAACGTATTACTAGATGCATTCGCGACAGTTGGACAAAATGTACTCTTAGGCTTAAATATGCTCTTGTATCTGGATACATCGTTTACTTTTACTTCAAGAGGCAATGCGGTTCTCTCCTTATGATAGAAATATTTCAACTTGATCTGATGAAAAAATGTAAACAGTTCTAACTTCGTTTGGAATAGATCCGGAGTTGGTGTGGGAACGAAAGAAAGACCGGTATAAATTTTTACATGATAAAAAAAAGTGTCATATCGCGATATCAATGACATAGCGATGCGATGACGTATGGCGCATTTACGTTTCCTAGCGCGCACAACAACATCACCACAAACCCAATAGGTGTGTTTGACTTGAAGCAGCGCTGCGCAGACTGATCGGTGTATGACATCAAAGTATCGCGAGAGCGGCTCTAGAGCATATTCGAGCGCACACTCTTACAGTCGAAAATAGGCGAGACGCCTATCTTTAGCGAAGTGCCGCGGCACGGCTGGTGTAAACGCAAGCATTGACTAACGTTAGCTCTGGTGTCTGCATCGGAGCCGCAACGCACCGCAGACGTGTGCAGTGTAAATAAAGGGTAAGTCACTCTCGCGGTATTTTGATGTCATACACCGATCGGTCTGCTTCAAGTCGAACACACAGCTGCTGCTGCCATCTTATGACAATAGATTAACACTTCGAATTAGGTAGTCTGTCATCGATGACAGTAGCTCATTGGAAAAGGATGGAAAATGCCCTTCATTTTGTTTGCACTAATAAATGATGCTGCCTGCCAGCTGCTATCACCAATAAAACGTTGTTCCATGTTTTTTTCTATATCGTCATCGCAAATATTCTTGAAATATCGTGATATAATTTTGAGGCTATATCGCCCACCCCTACATTGGATGTTGACTTCCGGAATCCATAGATGTTCCCTGGCCTAAAAAAATCTGAATCAGAGTCTGATGGAAAGTCAGATGTTTTTGAACGTTTCGTTTTGTTGCCATGTTGAAAACAAAATTGCTTCTGATGTGTTCAACCATTGGATTCAAGCCAAGGATAAACAGTCTCTTTCTTGTAATCCAACAGTGTTCAATTTTGAATTTGAGTTTGATCTTTTGCAATTCTTGTTGGTATTTATCTAAGCTGGATTTCAGTTTTTCTTCCATGTCCTTCAAATCAAGGATCCACGCTACATAAACCTTGTCATATAAACTGGAATAAATACGAAACTAGAGTCAAACTAAAACTGAAATGAGACATTAGTAATAAATAGTATAATGAATAAATGAAATAATCATAACAAGGTGCATTAAAAGTCATTAAATCTTTGATTAATATGAATATTTTAATTAAACGTGTCTCCACGTACTATTCAATAAAATTCTAGTGCATTTCATCTATTAAATAACAGCGGAGTGAGCGAGTTTTTGGATATGGTAAGATTAAACTTATTTTAGTGAATAAAGTACCACATTTCAGCTATCATTTTGTTATGGTGGCTACACAAAATGATATTTTATACTTGCTTCTAGAAAATCCTCAAACTATATGCTTTCTAACAGCTTCATGTGGCCGTAAACATTTAAATTTAACGTGGCTTTAAAGGGTTACTCCACCCCAAAATGAAAGACCGCCGTTCATCTTCGAAACACAAATTAAGATATTTTTGATGTAATCTGAGGGTGCTTTCACACCTGTAGATCAATTGCTTTGTTCCCGAAACAGGGATTAAAATTATTACAATGTTGCTTTTTATTCTTGATGTGGTTCGCTTTCACACGGCAAAGTTCCTAAACGGACCAAAATTGTTAATACAAGTCACGTGTGAGTAAACTGTCCTCTCATTGGTCGAAGTTCCACGATTTATTTTCAGGAATTCCGCTCATAGCGGTCATCGGTCACGGTGGAAAACAACAGCTTCGAGGGCATATTGTTGGGTTTTTTGTAGCCGTCATTATATTAATTTATTAATTTATCATTTTGAGCAGGAGTCCAGGATTCGTCTGGAAAACATTGTTAAAATGCACCTACTACGAAGAGCAATAAAATGGCATTATAAAATGAAAAGGCGTGCTTTGATTTTAAATGGCGAAGACGTGCTCACCCACAGACATATCGTCTACTGCTTTTCACGGAACTTACGTAATTACGTAATTACCCATTATACATTGTGATATAGCCTGGTCCGTTGGATCGGATTGCTTTCTCACTACAACCGAACCGCTCCAGAGTTTGTTTTGAATCGAGCCGAGACCACCTCGTTCAGGCGATCTCGGACAGATTGTTTTGGCACGGATCCGAGCGCGATTGCCGTGTTCACATATGCCCAAACGAACCGAGCTAAGGAGGGAAACGTGCCAGGTTCTGAAACAACGGGCCAGGTGTGAAAGCACCCTGAGAGCTCTCTGACCCTCCCATAGACAGCAATGGAATTACCACGATCAACGTCCAGAAGCGTAGCAAGGAGATCGGTAAAATACTCCATGTGACAAAATGGCGCTAATTGAAGAAAAGTTTGTTTTTAAGGCACTTTGTGACTTTTCTTACTTCATACACAAAAAAGTATAAAATTCGGACAAAATTTGATTTATGATTTGATATTTTATAATAGTGATTTTATAAATTCAAAATCTAGAGAAAAAGTAGAAATGAATGACTAAGGCAATAAGTGCTCCTCTGCTGCCGTCTACTGGTTATAATTGTGATTTGACGTATTTTTTAAATTTTACATAAGTGTTTGTTTACCACAAAGTATATTTTGGTCATCCCATTAAAAATAACATTCAAACTGGATCATTTTAGAGATTTAAAGTGCTGGAAATAGTTGTGTGAAATGCTTGTTCTACCACAACACCATGGTTACAGTTAGCGTTACCGCTTCTGGTTTCCTGATGTATGTCAGCGCTGTTTATAACAGAGAATTCTGTGCAGAATTTGAATGATTCTCAATAGATCTTGCAGCAACCTTATCATTGTGCGGCGAATTAAAACGCTTCTCACTGGATCTCGCAGAACCACTGACCTTATTTAAGGGATTTAACCAAAATCCCATTCAAAAAATCCATTGACTCTGGGACGATGGAACCGGAAGTGCTAAAATGCTAACTCGCTTCCGGGTTTTTGCCTATAAAGTGACATCATACTTCCACCACTCTATAAGAGCTCGCTCAAGTACTGAGGAGCTAAACCATTCAGGGCTTTTTAAGTTATTAGCGACATTTTAAAATGTATGCAGTGTGTAATAGGGAGTCAGTGCAGTGATAAGCCTCGGGTCCTCCGGTCTCCAGCTTCACCCAGTCAAGATGATCCCATGACTCTGCCTCCAGCTTCTGCGCCCATTAGGAGTGTAGAATTAGGGGGACGCTACGGACATGTCCCTACCTATATCCAGTGACTACCAAATTGTCCCAAGCAATAATTTTGATCAAACAATTTAATATATGTTTTTGTAATTTAGGACGCATCTGAAATATGTCATAGCATTGATATTGCCTAAGAAGCTAAAGTAAATACGTTACAAAACTGCTCGCTTTCAAGGACCCACATTTAATACATGGTATGAAGTAAGAGTAAGAACGTAAGGTAGTCGCACACCGAACGAGAAGCGTAGCACCAACTCACAGGTATTGCACCGAGTTCAAGACAGCAGTCCAAAACAGTTAACATAAAAGTTCACTTCTGGAATTATCAATGGATATTAAAGGGGTCCTATTATGGTTTTTCACTTTTTCAACTTTAGTTAGTCTGCAGATCTTTTTTATGCTCAAACAGCAACATTACAAAGTTACAAAGCTCAAAGTCCACTTCAAAAGATATTTTATTTTACAGAAATCACTTTTCAAAAACTACAACGAACGACTCATTTGGACTACAATGCATATTTTCCGGGATTTGTGATATCACAAATATCAATGAATAGGATGAGACCTGGTTCAGCTGCACTAGAGAAGGCAACAAGTTTTATCACTATGTCGGAGACACACTAGCTTTCCCAAGGCAGACAAACTTTGAGTGGTTACAATCATCTGGGTTTAAATCGCGCTTGAATTGATTTGATTTTGATGCAATATTTACACTGAAGCTCGCAAACGGCTATGGTAAGGGAAGTGACATTTCCCGACCAGGCGCCGAGTGCTGCTAATCACAGCACACACTGGCCCAGCTAACCAATCACAGCACACACTGGCCCAGCTAACCGATCACAGCACACACTGGCCCAGCTAACCGATCACAGCACACACTGGCCCAGCTAACCGATCACAGCACACACTTGCCCAGCTAACTGATCACGGCACACACTGGCCCAGCTAACCGATCACAGCACACACTTGACCCAGCTAACCGATCACAGCACACACTGGTCCAGCTAACCGATCACAGCACACAACTTTAGTTAGTCTGTAATGTTGCTGTTTTAGCATAAAAAAGATCTGCAAAGTTACAAAGTTCAAAGTCCACTTCAAAAGGAGATATTTTATTTAACAGAAATCACTTTTCAAAAACTACAATGAACGACTCTTTTGAACTACAACGCATATTTTCCGGGATTTGTGATATCACAAATATCGACGAATGGGACGAGACCTGGTTGAGCTGCACTAGAGAAGGCAACGAGTGTTATCACTCGCTAGCTTTCCCAAGGCAGACGAACTTAGAGTGGTTACAATCATCCGGATTTAAATCGTGCTCAAATTGATATTGACGCAATATTTACACTGAAGCTCACAGGCGGCTATGGTAAGGGGCGTGACATTTCCCGACCAGGCGCCCCAGCTAACCGATCACAGCACACACTGGCCCAGCTAACCGATCACGGCACATTTCGTATTTCAGAAGGAACTATTTGAGCCGTTCATGCTAGACTGGGGAGAGAGTTGTTGTAATAATGTAAAATATGTGAAAAATAATGTTTTTCGAACAACCTAGTATGAGAGCCTGTTCTAGTACACCCCCAAAACAAAATCAGGACTTTGTAAAAAAGCATAATAGGACCCGTTTAATAGCTCTATATATAGCTATCTATATAAAACATACAGACAGAAAGACAAATGCTGTGCTGAAAGATGCAAAATACACAATCTTCCATCATGTGAGTGATGCTCTGTGGCGTGGCAGGATTTGGAACAGTCTTTAAATTTAACTTAATAACCTATGTTGTTAAACTGAATGTACAAAGCAAACTAGCTGGAAATATCCACAAAATAAAAAAACAACACTGAAATAAGAGCGTGTGGTTTATCTGTCAATCAGATGCGCGTTAAAGTTGTGTTTGTTACTACAGCAACAGTGGAGTTCTCTTTCAGAATCATCCTGGGTCCAATTCGACTAATATTAAAATAAAGTGCTGCGTGATTAAGACAACCAGTTTATGGATTATGAATACGTTGGCTACCATAAGCTATACATAAAGACTTTAGATGACATGAAACTACGGTTTAAGGTCTATCATGTGGGGGGCTCTGCTGTTATGTCCCCAATAATGTCAAAAGCAAACCTACACCCTTGGCGTGTCTGCTCCGTCTTGGCTCCCTCATCCCTCTGCTCCACCTTGGTCAGACATCACCCTGCCTGTGTCATGGAGTTATGGGTATCTCCACCCTCCCTCTGGCTCTCTCTTGGTCCTCCATCACAACAGCTCTGCCTCAGTCCTCTGGCACTCTGTCTCCACCTCAGATGCTTGTTGCGGTGGCTCTGCCTTGTTTGCCAAAGCAACTAGTGTTGTTCAGTTCCATCAGCTCTGTCTGCACCCTAGTCCCATCTGCCATCAGCCAAGTCTCCACCATGGCTCCTTCCTTTTTCACCTCCCCTGTGGGCTATCTTCCTGGCTGCTCTCTGAGTCACCACCTGGCTCCTCTTGCTCCTGGATCCTCCCACTTTCATCACCACCTTGGTTTCTCCTGCCATCATTGTCACTAGTCTCCAGCACTTTGCTGAGCCCTTGTCCTCCTCCAATGCCTGTGCTTATACCAGCCGCGCCGCGCACGTTTCTGAAGCATCCCAGAAGTGTCTCTCCATGGTGCTTCGCTAAAGACTAGCGCCTAGCCCTAGTCTATTTTTGACTGATTATGATCATCATCTTGCTATCGTCACAGGCATCAGCAACAGGTGATATCTCTGACTATCGTCGATACACAATACTATCGGCACAACCCTAGTGCTGTTGCGCTTTGGGCATCCTAAGTGCGAGTCTTGCCTCGTGGATCTTTCCCAATCCTGTCCCCTTCTTTCTGTCCCACGTCTCTTCCTTTCCTTTTTAAACTCTCAAAAAAAACTCTGAACATTTTTATATCTAACATGCTGTTTCACAACCTTGTGTTTTGGTTTTAAGATTACAGGTTAAACCTTTTGTAGTTGGTTAGAGAATATAGGATCTAGCATACATGTTGTTGGATTTGATGGTTTACATCTTTTTCATGTCTGTTGCTTTGTACAAATAAACTGGTGTTAACTTGTTTTTGTTTCTTTTCACCTTAGACCTGATGCCACTGAAAGAGGAGAGTCAAGAACTGAATGAAATGGAAGAGAAAGATCAGTATGAGAAATGCCATGATTTCATGACTGGGGGAAAATCTTTGAGTGACTCGCAGACTCGTGAAACAGAAACTAGGAACCTTAAAGTCCAGATGAAAGTTCACACT